CATACCTAAAGAACTTTACACGTTAGATCCTCCCGCAAGGAGTGAAACAACACTATTATATTCAACGCACAATACAAAAGTCCTGCAAGAGATCTGATAGATCTCGTAATGCAACGAACGTGTTAAAAGCAGCATGCACGCAGAATACTTAGTTAATTCTTACTAATATTATAAATGTGAAAGTTTATATGTATGGATGGATTGTAGATGAAATTTGATATAATAGTAGGAAGAACACATCGGCCACTAAAGATTTTTAATTCCGCACGAACAGTAGCTGGCGACATCTAGTAATATAAATACGAAAGTTTACATGGATGGATGTTTAATATGACATATTTCCAAAACAAATTAACGAAACTCGACAAAACTTGACACAGTTATAGAACAGAATCTGGAAGAACGCGTAGGCTGCTTGTTGAGTATCTTTTTAATACCGTGCGAACAGAGTTACGGGAAAAAGCTGGCCTTCTAATATATTAATGGAGCAAAATAAATCTGTATTTTGATATCTTAACCCTTATAAATCAAGACGTGGTATAGATTAGGGTTTTGAGATAAATATAATTATACGTGGAATATGGATTGTCATTACACATAATTGCAGTGAAAGTAGAAATATCTATACGATAGTTGCTTGACAAAATAAAAGAAAGTGTACATTAGAAAGTGTCAATAAATATTATTTACATGTTATTCTTTTTCATTAGGAAGAAGAAGAGTTGAAATTTTATATAAACAAAAAAAATACGATAAAAAAGTGGTTTGTACTACACAAAACTAGAGATGCGACCATTAAAAAATTATTACGTTTGTGCGAATTCCCCTAAAAGTGTAAATTAAAAAACTTGAATTTGCTATTTTTTTTCTCTATCTTAGTGTGGGCTTCTATTGCCAAAACAAAAACTTATAGTCAACAGTGCAAACTACATGATGACGTCAATAGCCCAGGTTAAGGGTACGGATTTCCGATCCCGTGTTTGCGGATTCGAATCCTGCCATTCGAATATTGTCGTAAACCATGTCCTAGCACAAACCTAGAGCTTAGTTTGAATGGTACGAGAAATATTAGTAAATTAATAAAAATCGTTCCCTTCCTTTTCTATATAAGGAAAGGATGGGAAGTGGAAGTGGACTTTCCGGATGAGAGGATGCATGGGAAGGGAAGATATTTTTTTCTGTGCATCCTCTCCTCCGTCGATTAAAGGTAGGCAACGCATATGTAATTGCGTATGTCTATGGGCAACGGTCACTTCGCTATTTCAGCGATTTCAGGTGGCCTCTCGCTCGTTTGCCACCTTATGATATAAAAAAAAGTTAAATTCAGATTATTGCTCAAAGTGCTACTTACTTCAATATGTGGCACTGGCTAATCTTTCGTAAGCGTTGAACTAAATATCTGACCGCGTAGATTAAATTAAAGTCAAATATGTCAATACAGGTCCTTTTAGCTCAATAAGAAGTACGGTGACCGGATTCCTGTGAATTACTTTGAATTTCTGACTCCATTGACATTTTCATCTGTTGATTTCTGACATTAATTACACATTTCACACTTTTACTTGTTAAAAAGAAAACGAGTGTTTTAACACTTTTGGTGAAACCTTATATTTTGACGCGTTAAATAATCTTCAAGTATTTAAAAAACTAGGTACAATTGCAGGTTTACATGACCTTAAATTTTTAACTGAAACTTAGGAAATATATAAATTATGTCCGGTTCGCATTAAACCAATCCAGTGATCGAAATTAACGCTGGAAAAATGTAAACACAAACGAATTCAATGTTTAAATTCAACTGTATGTTCACATTTTTCCAGTTGTAACTTAGATTCTATCGCTGGACTGGAATAGTGTAAACAGGGCATTAAGTTTAGATGCTCAGAAACAAAAGACGAATGGTGAATTCGTTAATTTCAAATACCACAAGTTACTAAATTGCTTTTATTGTGATGTATACTTGTTAAGAAGAGTTATCTTAGAAATGCCTTTATTTTTTTCAGGTGCAATTTTTCATGGTGCTGTTCCATTCAATAAGCGCGTTGCTCTACGACTGTGGATATCCCAAGTAAGTATTTTATTAACATTGTTACGTGTTACAATATTACCCATATTATAACAATACTGCTACTAAATTAATCATCAGTCTTAGTACACAGTGGACAGTGTACAAAACCAGTATAGTAAATTATTTTTAATATTTTCTAGACTCATCGCCTCCGGACTGATCCTGCATTCGACAATCTTCATAGTGTTGTTTATGAACTTCTACATGCATGCGTACAAGAAAGACAAGGTGAAACCTCTAGCAGTGAACAACAACAACAAAGGTGAAGGAATTACTGAAGATACCAAAACAAGTGAACATAGTAACGGACATATTAATCTAAACGGTCAAATCTGTAATAGAGTAAACGGACACATTACAAATGGTTACACCAACGGTACTCAGTGTAATGGTTTGACCAAAGCCAGTTTACATGAATCAAATGACGTATTGCTTTACGAATCGAATGGAATAAACAACACTGTCAACGGCCATATTCTTAACTACAGTAATATTGAGAAAGAAAAGACGCAGTAGTTAGGTTTTTGTAGATATAAAGGTTTAATTAAAATGAATTAAGTCGCAATAGTTGTCACAATTTGTGTAACAAAATGTAATTAATTTGATATATTTTAATTGTTAATTTAAGCCAGATTATTAGAGGCTGTTAATTTTTAATGTTTCATTTTGTTTTACCAAACAGGACATTTTCCAATTGGATATAAAGTCGATAAATAAATCGACTATTAAGAAATAAAACAACTGGTCAATAATTTAAATTGTAATTAGATTCAAACACGAAGCGCTTTCATTTTAGTGAATAATTATAGTGGTTACGAAGAAGAAAGCGCTGATGTTAGTCTAATTACTGATTGCCACCAACTCGACGGCTGCACGGCACATACGATACCATCTCATAGACGTATTACAAGATTCAAACTTTACAGCTGCTCGTTGTTAGCTACGAGATTTTGGTACGAAGTGTTACCTACCACTGCATTCCATTACGCCACGTTACACCTTAAATTGTGCTCTGCGTAGTACGTATGATGATCCGAGCCACCATAAAGATTGATTAACACAAACTTATAAGTTGATAGATTCCAATATTTGAAATAATAGTTTCAGGAAAGAAAAACTGACTTTAAACCATCTTTCAAATGTTGTCAATTTTCTTTATTTTTTGAGTTGTACAAATAAAAGTTTATAAATTGTTATTGATAAAATGTACATAGTTAAAATAATGTAAATAACAATAATTGCTCAACAAATCATTTTGTAATTTGTTTGTTATATGTATATTAATTTGTAATTCTTAATTACATAATAATTATACATATTGAATATCAAGTGGTTATAAAATAAACAATAATATAAGCTTTTATTGAATCAATAAAAGTTAAAAACAGTGTCATAATAAAAAAAAATTGTTATTCATGAGACATAGTTTTAAGACAATGTTAGTATTTTATTGTTATACCATTAATCAATTTATAGATAGTAAATTGTAAAGACAATCCATTATTTTTGCTGCTTAGTAGATACTTCTATCATTCATATTACGAATAGTTTATTGAAAATTAAGACCTACGGTGAAGGAAAACATCGTAATGCAACCTGCACATATCTGTGAAATTCAAAGATATGTGTGAAGTCAACCCGCACTTCGCCAGCGTGGTTGACTATGGCCTTATCACCTTAGGGTAGGGTCCCAGCCACTGGGGACGTATAGTGAGCTGATGATGATGAAAGACCTAGGTCACTTTTTACGAGTATTTTGAGCGTTAAATAACATGCTTATTATTTAGCCAACTTCAAAGAGAAGATTTTTATTCCTCTAAATTTTAATGAAAAACTAACCTATTTTAAAATCTCCCAAATAAAAGCCGTTATGTATACAACTAAGAACAATATCTATTCTAATGAAGTTTTATGTAACTCTATATACTGGCCCCAGCTTTGCTCGGGTAATTTTTAAATTTACTGGAGATTTAAAAAAATAGCTTTAGTTCGTAAGGAACAAACGATCAAATTCTCTCTCTAATTTTCTTATCATATTAACTACCTCAATTTGTCCGTTCTATGAATTAATCCGTCCAGAAAGCTTTATATAGAGTATATAAGAAATTACTTTTATGTACTTAGGAATCGAAAATGTTTTTGAATGTAAAAAGAAACTTACGGTATATTGTTGATTTTTTCTCGTCCTTACATTTAGATGTAATTTGGTGCTATTTTTTCTAAAAAAATCTGATATTATTTTTTGATATTTAGTTTTGTAAAATATATTCATATTAATCTAAGCAATTCTTTTGTATTAGAGCAAAAGGACTGGAATTAAATACAATTCTATAACAATTAAAAAATAAATATAACATTTAAGAACATAGGACTTAGAAGAATCCCAACAATGAGCTTATCATCATCATAAGAAACATCAACATAAACAATTTGTTGTCTCTCTCTTTCAGAAAAAATCTGAAACACAAATATTTTTATGCGAATTCTGTCTGTTCACGAATTCTAGATAAGAGACCAATACCAGTCAGTTTTAATAATGTATATTTTGTATAAATATCGTTAGTTCTAAGAATTAAGGGCAACAAATGTTTTACTCTTATAAATCAATATAAATATTACCTTTTTATACGTATAAAATAAATTGTACTCATAATTTATGTGTTTTATTCTAATAATAAATAATCATCAAAAATCGAGCGAATGAATCATCGTAAGGTCCTTTTTCTATTTTATAAAAATAAGTTACGACTCTTCCTAAAATAAAAATAAAACGTTATAAGTGATTAGGTACACGACGTTTAACCACCACCAATGTTTTATTACAAACTTAAACTAGCGCCATCTACTGAAAGCATATGAGTATCAAACAAATCACTCACATTTTTGGAACTCTTAAAGTTGCTTATTTGTAATAAAAGATGTCGCTAAATTGTGATTTATTTTCATTAACGAGAATAATTTTTAACAGATTGTCAATATAGGTATATAAAAAAAATGTTTTGAATCCTTATTAAAATGTTTGAAAAAGCGTATTTTGTTATGTTTTCTGTGTAGTGATATGTCCTTTCTGATGATGATTACTGCATATGGGTTAAACGCTTTGACTAAACTAAAAATAATGTTCCTGTTAGTGTTAAAATCAATTCCCAATTCCAAATTATATTATGTTTGTTTTGTGTGATTATAACAATTACAAAATTAAAGTGAGTATTAAAATTAGTACATCCATACATTTAATAAGAATTCACAGACCTGTACATCTGCTCATTTGTATGTCAATATTACTGACGTCTGAACATTTTCTTCCCTTTCTTGTTTGAACATAAATTGCAGCCCCAATTTATATCAAAAACCAATCATTGCTGACACGCAACATTAACATCAATACGAGCAAAAGACTGAGAAGCAGAGGTCCAGTTTCGTTGGATAAGACATTCTTGCAATGGGGATGTGAATCTCGTGTCGCATCTTCCTTTTATTAAATGTGACAGCATAAAACAGATGGCGCCACGGGTCCCTTGTTCTCATGGCACTTAAATTCAAAATTTACTTCAATTTCTAAAATCATTACCTAACAATATGGGTAGAAACTTTCGTAGAACGAATTTCTTTTCGAATGTTATAGTTAGACAAATCGAATAGTTTTGCATCACTCAATGTAATCTGTCACGTCAAATGCGTTACAAAAAATTGAGCGGGAAATACCTGTTATCGTTGTTTTTTGGGTCTTTGTAGAGTAACCAAAGAACAAATTAGATCATGTATATAATATTATGCACGGAAAGATACAAAACTTGTCATAAAGTTGCTAAGGGATTAATATTTTGGCTAAACAAAAAAGCTACAATCAATAGCAAAATGTTGAAACGGAACGCATTCACGCCGCGCGCCGTCCGGGCTAAAACCCCTCGCCCGGGGTAATATTTCTCTTCTCTCCAGTCGGCCGAATGCGCGCCTGCACTGCGCACGTGTGCTTTGTCGCGGTCTCTCACTTAACCTACACAAAAATACAACAAAATAAACTAAAAAAAAATGACATTCAATAACAATGTATTAAAGATGTGTTGCGATGTTCTTAACAGTGAGTTATTGTTATAAATTAGTGATTCGACCTGTTGTTTCGAGTGAAAAAGAGAAGCTTTATATCTAGCGTCGTAGTATCTTGAATAATGATATGAAACAACATTTTCTATGGCGATAAATCGGTCGTAACTGTACGCTTTAATCGGTAATGAGTTGTCAAAGTTAGGTTAGAGATAGGAATATGTAACGGATATTAGTTGGAGGGACGTGAGTGGTAGAGTCGTGCTATATGCTAATCAGTTGGTTTCTTTTAACCCGCACACAAAAACCTCTGCACCCGATACTGCAGTGCGATTTGTGTTGCAAATTTTAATGTTTATAGCATTCGGATTCCGGACCGGACTGACACTATAAATTTACGTACGGTTTTGTGCTAACCGAAAGAGTTACGGTGCTAAGTTTTATTTTAGTGATTGAGGTACGTACACACTGCACGCGCCTTTTATTATAAAATTTAATTAACAAACTGTGTTTTAATTATAATACTACTTAGATGCATGAATTGTTTGTATATTAAACGCTACATTTATCTTTTTGCTTTTGTTTTATTTTCATTGTACGAATTCCGCGACTATTGTTCTTACACGATGTAACTACAATACACAAGCGTATAAGACAAAATAAACATAAATAGATACATCTACGTATATGTTGAAGAAACTAAACGTAATGAATTTTCTGACGTTAAAAATACATATATGCATTGGAACACAGCCTTTCAACATTTGGAACCAACACTAATACCGAATAAGTTCCCGATCCCACGTTGTTTCTAAGGGGATATAATATGAGATGAAAGTGGTGATTTCCGACTTGCAACTCAAAAGGATAAATCAGGAAACATAGGCAAGCTACCTACCTGTAGTTCACGACTACGCACTTTCTTTGTGATGGGTTCGGTTCAGTTCGTAACCAGCCTTTCCTGACACTTTATCAGTGTTAATGATTTGTATCTCTATTATATTACTAAACAAGGTCAAAGAAAAAACGTTCTTCGCTAATCAATTCTCTTAGCTAGTATTATTAAATGTAATGGCGATCCATTGTTTTTTTTTATTTTAAGACAAAAGAATTCCTAGAGTATTTTCGTTCTTTTCTAGTTGATTCCTTCCGCGGTCGCTTTAATAAACTCAATAAGAGGATTCGTGTTCTACTTCAGTAATCGTTTGATGGCCCTTTGAGAAAAAAGAACCTCAGTAATGTTTAATATTTGTCAAGGGGAATCAAATTGACGTTCCTTAAATTGCGTTACGATGAAACAACTTTGTATCCATTCTCGTTGCGTCATGGAATCTCTTTTACCATGCTTGTATGTATGTCGAATACTTTGTTTCAATTCAATCCTATTATTCTGTATCAAGTGAGAATTTATTATACTACACGGTAAGTATATTTTAATGAAAAATAAAATATATTTTCTCTACCACAAAAGATTTTTAACTAACTAAATAATATAACGAAAGTGTCGAAACACTTCTTACGATAACGTTTTTAGGCAAAGATCCCTTGCAGCGTTTAAAAACGGTCAAACGTTTTTCAAATTGTCTTTTTGTCTATAAGAATTTCAACTTAATTTAATACTTTTATCAAACAAGAAGATAGATTCATGTAATATTTTCATACAAAACATAATAGATATATCCCCGCTGCGAGATCTCCGTAAGCAGACCAGAACACTGCAAGCGAGGAGTGGACATTGAATATATTCAAACAGAACATATTTCTATTTACAATGTACAATGCTTTTCTCATTGCAAACGGTTTGTACAAAATATGTTTATAATAGTTTTCGTCATTTCCATCTTATCCTACTCTATATGAAGTCGGCGTTCCAAGTTTTCGTACAGATCGATCTATCATTCGTCTTTGTGTATTGTAAAACGATTTATAAATGAATATGTCATAGCAAATAGCTTGTTGATAACATTACAGGATGTACAACGATGATGCCACTTCCAGTTGAAGTATCTATTCTAGATATGAACGATGTAACTTGTAATAATGCAATATACCACATGCCTATAACTCAGAGTTGTATGCAGAGACCACGTCCCAACATTTAGCCCGGTACTGACACACACTGATTTGTTCTCAAATCC